GAGGTTGGGGGACTCTGCTTAAGCCATCTGGACAGCAGCAAACACAGCCACAGCCTGGCCTCACCTGATCACTCCTGTCCCCACATCCCAGCCCAGCAGCCTCCCACCCTGTCCCGGCAGACTCCCTTCTGGTGCCCCGGAGGACAGACTAGGAGCCTGAGTTTTCTCACTCGTTGATCAGGCTGAGAGCCCAGCACTCCCATATCCCTGCAACAAGGCCTAGCACAAGGGATTCCTTTTAGGAAGGATTCTGAACTTGACATCTTGTCTGGGAGCCAGGCTGTGCTAAGGCTCTGGGCAGGATGGACATGGAGTGAAGCTCAGGCCCTGGACACCATGCCTAAATCATGACATAACAGCACTGGCGATTCGGTTTGTCCCCCAGTCTATTCCCCAGCCTTCTCCAGCCTGCTCAGTGCAAACTGCAGCACCAGCTCCCTTGCAAAGCCTCCATTTAGGCTCAGCCAATGGGAGGCACCAGCAGGAGTTAGAGGGACAAGAGTGCATCTGCAGCTGGGCGCGGTGGCTCACGCCTATAATCCCAGCACTTTGGGAGGCCGAGGTGGGGCATCACCTGAGGTCAAGAGTTCGAGTCCAGCCTGGCCAACATGGTGAAACTCCATCTCTATTAAAAATACAAAAATTAGCTGGGCCTGGTGGCACACACCTGTAGTCCCAGCTACTCAGGAGGCTGAGGCATGAGAATTGCTTGAACCCGGGAGGCAGAGGTTGCAGTGAGCTGACATGGCACCACTGCACTCCAGCCTGGGCAACAGAATCTCAAAAACAAAAACAAAAACTGTGCATCTGCCCCACTCCCTCCCTACCTCCTGACTCCCTGCGCATGGCAGCGGTGAACCCTCAGGTGACTCCCCACGGGCAGCCTCTCCTCCATGCCACCAGCTCCAATTGGGCAGAGGGAAAACTATTCCCTCTCCTTACCCTTCAGACCTTAAGTGGTAACAGCTTCCTGCCACAACTAGTCCCTGGATGCCTTGGTATCCCCAGAGGCTTCTTAACCTGCCCCCACTTTGGCGAGTTTCCATACCTAGCATCTGCTGAATGCTTCACAACCTCATTTAGTCCTTAAATGAATGTTCCCATTATTATAACTGGTTTACAGATAGGGGAATGAGGCTCAGAGAGGTGAAGGCATTTGCCCAGGGTTAAACAACTAATAAGGAGCTGGGTGGAACTCAAACCCAGGCTGGTATGATGCCCAGTTTGAAGCCCAGGTCTCGATGGCAAATGCCTGCAGCTTTCTGCTTGGCTTCTGCTTGGCCTACTCTCCTCTGAGCAGCTGCCCTGGCCTGTGGGGCTTGTGCCTGTCATCTGGTGCTATACGGGTACCTTCTTCGTCTCGCCCCAATGCTGAGCACATTGTCCCATAGTCAGCTGTACTGGCGGTCACTGATCAGTCTCTCCTTCTGAACTGTAAGCTCGAGGGAAAGGCCTGGGCTGTGTCATCTTCGCCTCTGCAGCACACAGTAGGCGCTTGGTAAATGTGTGTTGAGCAGACTGATGGAAGGCATTGACTTGTCAGTCTCCTCTACTTAGACAACGGGTTCCTAAGGCAGGGACCCTATCAATCCCTGTCATGGTCCCACAGGCCTTGGTATGAGGTCGCTGTTCAGCCACGGGATGCTGAGCTGATTAACCCGTGGAGCAGCAGTACAGTGCAGCTAGGAGACCCAAGTCCAGACTCTGACCCTGCCCATTACATGCTGTGTGACCTTGGTCAAGACCCTGGGCCTCACTGTCTGCAGGAGGCTGAGAAGCACCCCCTGCCGTGTGGAGAATCAGTGTGAAAATGACACACGCTCTCATCAAGTGAGAGGCCAGGAAAAGAGGTGGGCTAGAAGGTGGGGCAGAAGCAAAAACAAGAAGGTGTTTTTTTTAAGATTTGAAGCATTAGGGCCAGGGTGAGGAGAATACCCAGTCCCCTTTCTGCCTCTCCACCAAAGATGTGACATCCAGGAGGGAGGAGGGCCACCCTGTCCTAAAGTAGGGTCTTTACTCTGATAGCAGCAGCCTCAAAGAAATTGTAGACCCTTGAGTCATGCTTTTTTATAAAATGACTCAGGCTCCATTGAACATCCCAGGGCCTTGTCCCTAAAGGTTTCCATAGGCAGCAGATGCACTGGCATAAGAATGGCTGGCAGGCAGACCACTGAGTTTGATCCAGGTCCTACCCCTAGCTGTCTGTGTGGTCCCCTCTGAACTTTCAAATGAAGATGGACATACCACTGGGGCATGGCCAGGCTTAAACGGAATTCCATACAGAAAGCCAGTGGTTACTGTGCTTGGTACCCAATAAGTGCTCAATACATACTTGCTGTCCCCTTCTGATTTTCAGCAATAGGCCTACTGAGCACAGTCCCCAGTGTATATGCAGTGGCCCAGCCCTATCAGGAAGTGCCATTCCCAGAAAGGGTGGCTCACCAGCTCCAGCAGGTCGCCACTCATCTTCACCAGGAAGCCAGGAAGAAGGTGATGGAAGACATGCAGGATCTTGGTGAGGTATCCCCGGCGGGCAGCTTGGGCCTGCAGGCGGCGAGCAGTGCGCTCTGACTGCGAGTGGTGGGTCTCCTCCTTCAGCACCACCACGTAGGTGCCGGGCAGCCTCCACGGATCCTGGCCCCATGCAAGGAGGAACGTGATGACGTGGAAGAAACCCAGCAAACCCTATGTGTACTTTATCTCACCCCTACTTACAAACTAGAATTACAACAAAAGAGACACAACAGAGTGTAGTAAGTGATAAAGAAGTTACCAAATGCGGACCCAGAAGCAAATTAAAAAACTCATATAGGCCAACTATTATTATTCACATAGTTATATAACACTTTCAAATGTGCCAGTCAGGCAAAAATGGGAACCATGGGCCGCACTCGACAAGAGGTTTTCCTCTGTACCTGCAGCCAGCTCTCTATGGGCCTGGTTACCCGTGGCGGCCCTGCCCAAAGGCCACCTCCTCCACCCTGCCCCAATCAGAATAAACTGAGGGAAAAACTCATGGCTTTGGAGCCAGGAAACCGTGGACCTGAATTCCAGCTCTAATATTTACTCGTTGTGTGGTCATGAGCAAGTCACTCAACCTCTCTGGGCCTCAGATATCTCCGCTGTATTGTGGAGACCATAGTACGTATGACACAGGCCTGCTGGGAAGGTCAAGAGTGACGGTTGTAGAAATCTCCCATCCAGATGCTCTACAAATGCAGGCAGAAGGGATGACTAAGTGAGCAAAGACAACACTTCTTAAAGAGAGAGAAGAGTCAGGGCCACTGTCTTAGTCCTTTTGTGTTGCTCTATAAAGGAATACCTGAAGGTGGGTAATTTATAAGGAAAAGGGATTTATTCAGCTCATGGCTCTGCAAGCTCTCCAAGAAGCATGGCACCAGCATCTGCTTCTGGTGAGGGCCTTAAGCTGCTTCCCCTGATGGCAGAAGGTGAAGGGGAGCCTACATGTGCAGAGATCTATCATATGGCAAGAGAAGAAGCAAGAGAGAAGAGAGGGAGGTACCAAGCTCTTTTTAATAACCAGCCTTCAAGGGAAATCATAGAGGGAGAATCTACTCATTATCACAAGGATGGCACCAAGCCTTTCATGGGGGTTCCTCCCCCATGACCCAAACACCTCCCATTAGGCCCCACTTCCAACACCAGGGACCACATTTCCACATGAGATTTGGAGGGGACAAACTATAGCAGCCACGATCTGCAGGTGATTTGTTTGGTTTTAGCTCTCGTCTGCTCCAGCTGCTCTCAGGCAGACATACCTGCTCAAGAACCTTCACTGGCTCCCCACAGCCTCATGGATCAAGTCCAAACTCCATGCTCCTCCTTGGCCCCTACCTCAACCTACCTTTGCAGCCTCACCACCCACATCTCTGTATATATACATCTTGGATTCCAGTCAGAGTAGAACAGAGTTCACCCCCTTTACCCAAAGCCTTAGGGCCAAATCGGTTTTGAACCTCAGAACTTGTTTGGATTTTAGAAAGACAGTAGTGGGCAATCAGAGAGCCTGCTTGGAGGAATCTGGAGCTGCATATGTAATCTATGCAGCAAAATACATGAATACACATATTCACACAACTAGATTAAAAGTAATCTCATGTCAGTTCACGTCAGATGCTACCATCAAATAAATCACAGAAAAACCTTTTGGTTTTCAGAACATTTTACATTTCAGAAGGTGGATAAAGAACTGTGGAGCCTGGGCGCAGTGGCTCACAACTGTAATTTCAGCACTTTGGGAGACCAAGGCAGACAAATCAGTGGATCTGAGGAGGTCAGGAGTTCAAGACCAGCCTGACCAGCATGGTGAAATCCCGTCTCTACTAAAAATACAAAAATTAGCCGGGTGTGGTGGCAGGCGCCTGTAATCCCAGCTTCTTGGGAGGCTGAGGCAGGAGAATCACTTGAACCTGGGAGGTGGAGGTTGCAGTGAGCTGAGACTGCACCATTGCACCCCAGCCTGGGCAACAGGAGCAAAACTCCATCTCAAAAAAAGAAAAAGAACTGTGGACATGTGCTCCTTATCCTCCACCTCTGGTTTTCCCAGCTCTGTGCCTTTGTTCATGGTACCTCCTAATCCTAGAATAAAATTCTCCTGACATCGTCATCGCTGAACTCCTACTAATGCTTCAAAGATTCATCTAAAAATGCCTTCCGCTAAATAAACATCGAATGAATTGGGAGAGTACTCTGTGCAGTGGAATGTGAGTTCTGGAAACCCAGTTCTAATGCACCTGGGGTGACCTCCTCTCTCTGAGCCTGTTTCTCATGACTAAAACAAAAGGATTGTTCTAAAAATTCTTTTCTGCTTGCCAAAAAATATTTTCATTCTAAATTCGACTCCCACAGAATATCCATTGAATGAATGAATAAATGAACTTGAGGAGGCTCCTGTTCCAAATTTCCACCAGAGAAGAAACATCCTCAAGGGCTTGGTTCAGGTGGTCATACAGCCTCTGCTTACTCACCTCTCAGGATGGGGTACTCACTATTTCCAGAACAGTCGTTTTGGAGCAGTGGTAACTTGAAGTGCCTTTTCTTATCCTGGCCACAACCCCACAACATCCCTCTAGAAAGTCAAAGGCTCAGGGAACAAGGAAGAGGACTATACTGAGCTGAGTAAGGACCTGCCATCCTGCCACCCAGAACACTCAGACGGGGCAGGCAGCTGTGAGTGGCAGAATTTTCCCCTCTGCCCCAGGAGCTGTAGTTTGGAGCAAAGACAATGTCACCAACAGGTCACGCTGCAGACAGGGGCAAAACTGCAAGTGATCCCTCCCTGGGCTTGCATGAGTGAGGTCACTCATGGTCAACAGAACTTTCCCTTCATCTCCCCATCTGCTGCCACTGAGCCCTTAGGGAGGATTGTCACTTCCTTTTTAAAGGCTAGGCAATGGAGGCTCAAGGATAAGTGGCTTGTCAAGCACCACAGCTAGTGAGAGGAAGCCATGATTCAACCCCAGATCTGACTCCAAGCTGGGGGACACAGAACCTCAGCCAAGTCCTGGGCTGATAATACTTAGAAAAAACTAGTGACCCCGCCCCGGGAAGAAGCTTCCCACAGCCTGAGGGCCAGATGCTGGCAGAGTCGTTCAGCAAACTCGCCTCACCCTCGGTCGGTCTGCAGACAGCCAGGTGGGCTGAGGCGCCGGGCTCAGCTGCGGGGTCCCAGTACCAGGCGCGCCACCTCCGGCTCCAGAGCGCCAAGGGCCCTTCCCTGCCTGAGTCCTAAAGGACACCAATGGGCCTCGAGAATAACTCCGCCCCTTCTCCCCTGCCCCTTCAGCTGGTTCTTTTCTTCAATTGAAACAGATGGAATGCTACAGCATGAGTTCTGTGTCATAAAGAAATTGCCTCGCGCTCCCAGCATCTGTCGTCCTTCCCACCCCGCTCCTGTCTCGGGTAGGGCCTTCTCTCCAGGCCCTCCATCCTCCGCTGCCCATATTTCCCAAACCGAATCGGAACCCACTATAATGGCAAGCCCACTTCCTCTGTGTCTGGTGCGTTCCCAGTGCTTTCCAGGCATTCACTTCTTCACCCACCTGTGCCGCGGCGAGGCGGAAAGTCTGAAATCTGGGCAGGAGACCCTGGCAGTGCCCTGCCCGCCCTCCCTCAGCCTCGCAGTCTCCCAACCCTGCGAGCCTTCCCACTGAATAGCGCAGCCGCACGCCCCCGCAAGTCCCCGAAAGGCCGGCCATCCCCGCTCTCCACCGCACTCCCCACGACCCGTCCTCCCACGCCGCCTTGCCTGCAGTCCCCAAGATCGTGCCAAGAGAAGAGCCCTCGGAGACCTGCACCCCACTTCCTCTCTTAAATGGGGGGAAACTGAGACCCGAGAGGAAACAGCATCGCACCGTCCCGGCTGCGGGTTCCCCCAGGCCTGCCACCCCTCCGCCCGCACCTTGGCGCAGCGGTGGAAGGTGGCTGTGGCTCCGTGCTCGGGTGCGTCGGCCAGGCCGTCCTCCTCGGAACGCAAGGCTAGCACCAGCTCCTCGTAGTCGCCGTCCTCGTCCTCCTGCGCACGGGCGCCGGCGGGACCCAGGAGCAGGAGCAGCAGCAGTGGCAGCGGCAGAGGCCACCAGGACCGCCTGGAGCTGACGGTACCCATCAGGGCCAGGGGAGAGGTTGCCGTCCTGATGAGGAGACCTAGAGGCCGTGCACGGTCCACGCGGGCGGCGCCTTGAGCCTTGCGGTGGGGAGGACTGTGCAGGAGCTGGAGTTTAGGCTCAGGGCGCGCGAAGGGGCGCGCGGAATCCTGGCTGGGAGCTGGGAGCCGCCGCTGCAACGACACGTCCCAGCCCGCCTGAGACAGTCTCACTGCCTGGCTCACTCCTCCAGGCTCGGACCCTGAACTGAGCGGCGGCGCCCTCCTGCAACCACGAGCGCCTCGACGCCGCTGCGGAAACCTTCTAGGGTGTGGGTGCTTGACGCCTGGAGCCCGCAGATCACGCCACCAGAGCCCCATCGGACGATCCTATCTGATTAAACATTAACGGAACCCCCGGACTGGAGGATCAGGTTTCGGCCTCGCCCTCCCCAAACAGCGTCAGATTACGCGCAGAGGGAAGAAAAACCTCCCAAATTCTAACTGGGCTGAAAGGCGGGTCGGCGCTCTAGAGGCACCTCCTCTCCCGCCTCTCACCCTGCGTGGGATGCCAGACTCCGAGTTCTGCCCGGCCCACCTTTTCAGTGTTTCCTGGGTCCACCTTGTCACCTGCTGACCAGTGAGACTTCTGAATCAATCCTACTATGGACTCCTCCCTGCCCACCGAATTCTTTCCACCGGCCTTAACCTGGCAACCTTCTAAACTTATCTTGGACCCCCGCCGGCCTCTGCTCTTTATGCACCCTGCACACTGACCTTACCGACTAGCTGTTCCTTGAAGATACTGCTTGCTTTTGATGTCTAGCCTCCATGCGTTTCAAGGGATTTATACTGCAAAGATTCAGGTTTTAAGTTTGCAAAGATGTCATATAGGTACATTCAGAATTCTATGGTAGGCACAAGCTCAGCGTTGCAGAAGATTCAGTTTGCAAAGATTCCTTTTACACACCATGTTCAAGAACTCAACTGGACAAGCATCCAGTAAACACCTATTGTGTACTAGGCAGGAGGATGAAAAGGGGAAAGAGAGCTCCTGGCCTCAGATTGTACATGTGGCATGCCATGAGGCTTGCTCTTTCTGGAAGGGCTGTCAATACTGGGAAGAAACAAAGGCGGCTTTATGATCCTTCATTGCAGATGCACAGCATATTCTGAGTGAAATGACCTGCTCGGAATCTAGGTGCTGGAGTCCAAAGTTGATGCACTTTCCACTTTGTTTGCAAAGACCTCACTCCAGAGAGCCAGGGCACAAAGACTGTGCAACCAGTGGGTTGACAGTGACTCCATGAGGTAAGGTCAGAGCTATTCGCATTGAGCCACCATCGCAGCACAGAGTGGGAGCTCATTGTTTGCTGACAGAGGTGGCAGAGGTGGTTTTCCTTCCTGTTGCCTGTAACTGGAATTGTATTTGCAATGTGCTTTTGGCAGCTTCCTCATCAAAGGCCTCCTCCTAGAGAAAGAATGGATGGGAGCTAACTTTCCCTGCTGCTGCTCTTTGGGACCTTGGCCTCTCACCTACCAGGGGTTGTTACTGTGCACCCAGAGGATGATGAAGCCTATGCACAGAGGGACACGGATGTCCCCAGGCCCAGGAAGGGGGCCGCTGTCCAGCGTGCAGTGGGTGTGTTCTGAGGGAGGTTGGGGAGGAAGGAAGCATCCTGGGCTCTGCGACAGATGGAACCAGAGGGGCAGTCACTTCTCATCCCACATCCTCCACTGCACTCTTTGAGGGGCAGCTCCAGCTGGGCCTCCTGCCACTTGGCAGGGCTTTCATCCCTCACCAATTACCCCTCCCATAAGTTGCCTGAAGGAGTTGTGTCACCTCCTCCCTCTTCTCAAATGGGTCCCTCACACCCTGGCCAGCAAATAACCAGCTGGCTCCCTTGAGAGGTACCAGCAATCAGGGTAAGTCAGAAACCTCTTCTGGGGCCTCCCCTCCACTACAAGTGCTTTCTGGGTCAATACCCTTCCTTCTCCCCTCCTGCCTTCCTCCTTCAGGGCAGAGAGGACCATCCTCTTGTACTCAGCTGACACTCCCCTGCCCCAATCTGGCCTCCGCAGGGATCATCTACCTCCACTATCTCCTCTCCTCTTCTTATCCCTAAATCCCTCTTCCTGTGTTATTCTTTCCCCTCACCCCACAAGCATCCTCAAGGCTTCCCCCTCTAAAAATGCCACTTTTACTCTCCCTCAAAATGCTCTTCCAGCCATTGCCTTCCCCTCACAGACTGAATGAGTAGACAGAACTCACTTTTATGCTCCCTGACTACCTTCTCCAGCCTCCGAAACTTGGAGCCTGCAGCCGCCATTGTTGCGAGTGTACATTTCAACACTTTGAATAGACATACTCTTTTTTTGCAAGGGAGGGGGCATCTTTTTGTGTGGATGTTCAGTTTTTTAAAATTTACATGAAAATTTTTAAAATGTGAATAGCTTGAAAGAATATACAGTGAAAAGTTCATCTTCCTCCCGCTCCTGAACCCCCACCTTCCCAGGGGAAACCACTGTTACCCACGGTAGTGGGCTGAATGGTATCCCCCAAAAAGAACAGTCCAAGACTAGCCCCTGGTACTTTTGAATGTGACCTTATTTGGAAATGAGATCTTTGCAGATGTAATTGACCTAAGGATCTCATGAGGAGACTCGGTTTTAGGGTGGGCCCTAAATCCAATGACTGATATCAGAAGAGAAAGGGGAGAGATACTTGAGACACAGAAACACCTACGTAACGATGGAGGCGCCCATTACAGCTGTGCCAACATACGTCAAGGAATGCCAGGAGCCCACAGGAGCTGGAGGAAGTAAGGAATGTTCCTCCCCTAGAGCCTTCAGAGAGGGCACAACCCTGCAACCCTTCATTCCAGACTTCTGGCTTCCATAACTGCAAGACAATATGTTTTTGTTATTTGAAGCCAGCAAATTTGTAGTACCTTGTTATAACAGCCCCAGGAAACTGTTATACCTATTTATTGGGTATCTTTTCGGAGATAGTCTACTTTTATAAAACTATTTGGATGGGCTCTTCAACCCACTTTTTAAAACTGTAAAAGTAGTTTATGATTTACTTTTAACTTTTTATTTATATTGGTGGGGTGGAGAGGGACAACTTAATCTAACGTCTTAACCTAGCCCTAATCTTGGAATAAAAACTACACTGGTGAACCTATATCTACTGCCTTATTTTTCTGGTTGCAGATTATTTCATTCTATGTATGTTTCACACTGTCTTTAGCCAATTTCCTGTTGATTGGTGTTTCTGTTGGTTGTTTCTGTCTTTTGCTATTACAGTCCAAGTTGCTATGTCTATCCTTATCCATAGCTCTTTGCACATGTGACAGTATCCATTTCACATGTGAGTATCTCTTTGCATATGTGAGAGTATCTGTTTCATAAATTCCTGGAAGTGGAATTTCGAGATAAAGGGCACAAGAATGCTATACATTGATGATGTCTTCCCACAAGCAGTGCGGGAGGAATCCATCAGAATGGGCTAGGTCCTGCTTCCAGCATGAGCACGCCCCAAATCTCAGGGGCTTGAAATGTCAAAGGTTTATTTCTCTCTCACCCCACATGTCCATCAAGGACTTTGCTTCACTACTTTATTACCCTCACCCTGGAACCAGACTGATAAAGCAACCATCATCCAGAACATTGCTGAACACTGAGGCTGACGGAAAGCAACGAGGTGACTCCATGCAGCTTCCGCCCAAAAGTGACCCACACCACTTCCGCTCACCTTTCCTCCTCCTAAGCAAGACACATGACCACACCTAAGGTCAAATGTAGGAACCTACAATCATACCAAGTGCCCAGAAGGAGGAGAAAGGGTAATTTGTGAATACCACTGGCAACTACCACTCACGGTCACACCCAGGTCAACACAGAGTTGCCAAATATTTTGACCTTTCCTTAAGTTAAAAAATTATCTACATTTGTTTATCTTTGAATTGTCTCTTCATTTTTTCATTTTGGCTGTGGATCTTTTGTTTGTTGATTCATAATAGCTTTTTATGTATAATACCAAAATTAGCCTGCTGTCTCTTATGTATGTTACAGATCTATTTTCCAGTTTGATTGATTTTTGACTTTATTGTATTTTTCCATAAAAATTTTAATTTTCATGGAGTCAAACTTATCAGCCTTTTATTTAATGACTTCTTGATTTTGTACTGTGCTTAGAAAGGCCTCCCTCTTATCAAGATCATATAAAAATTGTCCTCATTTTTAAAAACTTTTTTAATATCTTGGCTTCCACTGGGATTTACTTTTGTATAAGGAGTGAGGTTATTTTCTCCAGATGCCTAGCCTATTGTTCCAATACCATTTACTCCATAACTCGTTTTTTCTCCCTGATTAGACATGACGTCTTAGTAACAAAGCTCTCTTGTGGCTATGCATCTAATTCTGGCTGTTTTTGTACCTTTAATATCTCTAGGCAGAAGCAAACTATGAAAATGTGCTATATACTGACCTAGCTATTTGATTTCTTAAGAATTTATCCTAAGGAAATAATTAGGCAAGTGGACAAAGAGGTACTAATGATATAGAAATCATTGTGCAAAACGGAGAGCAACTAAAGTGTGTGGTAGCCCTAATATAATCTAGCAAGGACCCCAGCGATGTTCACCCACCATTCAAGGATGAGGCTGGAGCTGGCCTAATGGCCCAGGATGGACAAAGGGTCCAGGACAGCAGCATGCTTATCCGTAAGAAATTCTGCTGTAAAATGTGTGTGCCCAGCTCTCAAAACAGCCTCTGACTCAGTAAAGACTGAACAAGATATAGGAAGCCCAGACATGTGGTAGGGTGGGAAGTTTGCATCTGGTCCCACTGCTGGGAGCCACAGGGAGCTGTGGCCACAGCTCCTCAGTGCCCTTCTGGCTGCACTGCCTCCTGCCTCTTGGGGTGGTATGAGTCTGGGCTCCGACTGCAACATGTTGATTCACTTAGCTTTCCCCCCGTCATAGCTTTACTGTCTCCTCTAATAAAACTCTCACTTTGATCTGCCGGGGTGTCATATATTACGCTTCTGTTTGCGCCTATTGAATTTCTTCCAGTGGTTCAGCAATCCAAACATCCATCAATGGAGGGACAGATTTTAGTCTGTTCATATGGTGGGATATTTGGCCGCTGGTAAAAAGAAATAAATAAATAGATGTTTATATATTGGCATGGAAAGATGTCCAACATCAATAACTTTTAAACAGCATATTATGATCCCATTTCAATAAAGTGGTTACATATGTTTATATAATGTTTGTCTCTGCATAAACAACACAAGATTTAAGGTACAGACCCCAAATGGAATTATAAGAGAGTCTTGATGTCTGCGTTCTACAGTTCTATCATGTTTAAAATTGTAAAATAGGCTGGGTGCGGTAGCTCAGGCCTGTAATCCCAGCACTTTGGAAGTCCGAGGCAGATGGATCACTTGAGGTCAGG